AATATGGCGGTCGTACATGAAAGGAAAACCGCCTAATCTTTTAATAGTCTCTCCGCCTCTCACACGCCTCCACACACGCCGTCCCTGCGGGGGGACAGTCATTAAATCTCGGCTCCATTGGGACGACACAAATATGTCGACTAAATATGTCCGACCCAATTCAAGAGCGATGCCACTAATCTATGATGGTCCCCCTGCCTTCAAATGGATTAAATCTCAGTTTCGAGGTTTAATTGCTTGGCCCCTGCAGCGACAGCGTGTGTGGAGGTGGGGAGACCTGTAGGGAATGAGTGACATTGCTTTTTAAGTGGCGCGGGCCATATTCCGTTGGGATATCAATTAGTCCGCAGTTCATCCGTTCTGAATGCGCTCATTTTGTATCTGAGCAGCAGACTAAAAGATACAGATTCTCTATTTTTGAATTTCGAAGTTGACTATAATTCCCGCACGAAAACGCAGTAGATACTCCACCGCAGTAGACTACTGCAATCATACTGCAAACATGCCTCAAATCTGCTTCGATTTGGGAGCTAATTAGCATATTTGAAACATGCTCCTATCACGCTGCTAATTTACTGCATTAATGCTCCTCTCTGTACAAACCTATGCACTTTTTGGAGTAGAATTGCAGTAGGCTATACTGCATTTCTACTGCAAATATGCTCCACACCACTACTGCGTTATTGCTTCTTTGCTACTTCGATACTATTGTATTTTCGTGCGGGATATCTAAGCAATCTTTGTTTAGCCAGTTATCTTATTGTATTATGCTACTAGTTTTGAAATTTGTATAAAACAGAGTGGGTATATTTGGGAGGGGGGAGATGCTTTTTATAATAATAATAATAATAATAATAATAATTCATTTACTTATTTATAAGACTTTATTTGTTTCCAGGCCAATTCGTGAGGTATATGGTGGCTATCCAGCTGTGGAAGACCAACTCAATTTGGAGCCAAAATCAGATACTGGAGTACCAGTAAGTGCATGATGGGCATATACAGAAGGCACATGATGACAACTAAGAATGTGTAGGCGTTTTTATTATTGATCAGGTCAGTGGCAGATAAAGTTGGGGAGGGGGGAGGGGGAGGGGTGGTGGGTCCTGATCTCCCCTGTGGTTTCTGAAAAAAAATCACATCAGAATGCCCCTCTTGAAATTATTATTTTGATTTGCTGAATCATAGTTCTAGGTTGTACCAAAGGCACTGTTTACCCTCTAAAAACATTTTTTCAGCAAGAGGGCGAGGGTTGGCTTTGCATCTGAGGCCTGTCATTCCTAAAAAACAGACCCCCCCCTTTAAATAATCCTGGATCAAATAATCCTGGATCCCCTACTGGTGCTGACACATTTAAGTCATGTTATTTAAACAATAGACCCACATTTGATGATTATGATCATCAGATGACAGAAGTTTCTTTGTCTGATATAATTTTTCTGAATATGTGATATGACTTCAAGTGGAGAACAAAAAAAAAAAAAAAA